CTCCAGCTGGTTTTCGGAGAGAACCCTCGGCTTCCCCACGACCTGCTGTCCGACGACAGTAGGGGACTCCCAGGATGGCAAGATGTGGTGCGCTCCCCTATGGGGCAGGACGAGGCTGGTGCTGAGTTTGCGAGATCCCAGAAGATTCGAGACGCTGCGCGTCGTCTTGCCATCGAGGTGACCTCTCGGGATCAGGTCAGCGGAGCCTCCCGGGCCAGGACTGTGACGACCAGGACCTTCTCTCCGGGCCAGTGGGTGTTCGTGTGGAGGCACATGTCTCGTGCCTCCTCCAGGGCCGACTCCCTAGGACGACGCCGGGATGGCTGGGCTGGTCCGGCCGTCGTGGTCTTCCATGAAGCCGGGACTGTCTGGGTTGCCGTCCGAGCGCGCCTTTGGAAGTGCTCGCCAGAGCAGATACGTCTGGCGAGTTCGGACGAGGAGTACGGATTGCAGCTTTCCCAGGATCCCAGGTGGCAGGAGCTACTGCAGCAAGCCAGGACTCGCCGGGCCTCGGCCGTGGATGTCCAACGAGAGTGGGCCCCGCCAGAGGACGCCTGGGACCGACCTCTGGGCCAAGAAGAGGATTCGGCCCCTCGTGGTGCGGGCCCTCCGGGCCCCGAGCCAGGTGGGCCAGAGGCCCCGGTCCGTCGTGAGAGCCCCTCGGTCCCGCAGCCTCCGTCGGGCACGATTCGGGTGGCTGCCTCCCGGGCCTCTCGGCTTGGGTCCGAGTCGGGGCAGGAGTCTCACGCGGGTTCTGACGGTGCACAGGCTGGCAGCATCCGCACCAGGCTTCCATCGATTGCCGAGAGCGAACCATCGACGGGAGATTTGTCCAGAGAGGTGACGCCGGGGGGAGAGGAAGGAAACCCTGGTCCCTCTACCGATGCTGCTGCTCCCTTGTCTTCCCCTCTCCCGCCTGTCGCCCCTCCTCCCGCTGTTTCCCCTCTTTCGCCTCCCCCTGAACCTCCTCAGGCCACGGCGGGCTCGGCACCTCGGCCCCGAAGGGTGCTGACTCAGCCGGAGGACACGCCTTGGTGCATACGCGCCCGGGCCGAGGCAGCCCGAGCCTCCAGCTCGCCGCCAGAGTTCAAGCGGGCGAAGCTGGAGTCGGCCGACCCGTCGTCGTCGTCGTCTCTGCCCGCCCCTCCGGTCTCCAGTGGTAGTGGTGGTTCTCCTCTCTCTCCTCCTCCGGGCCTCCCCGCTCCGTCTCCTTCCCCAGGGCCAGGGCCCGGGGCCAGGATCGCCGCCGGCTCCGAGCCGCGCGTGTCAGTCGCCGATAGAGTCCAGGAGATCGAGGCCGGACGGGCTCGTGCCCGGTCACGCTCTCCCATGAGAGATGAGAGTTTTTCCGAAGGAGTGTTTTGGGTGGTTCCCGGGGCCGACCAGCGTCGCCATCGTCCCGGCTGAGCAGCAGGAGCCGACGAGAGCCGAGGAACAAGGCGGCGGCATCTTCGCCGCGAGCCGAGGCGGCGAGGTCTCGCTGAGAAATCTCTCTCCCGCCGACCGGGCCAAGTTTGAAGTGTCCGATGCTAAGGAGTGGGAGGCCATGAAGGCGACAGGTGCGGTAGAGGTGGTGGCCCCGAGCAAGGCACGAGTCATCCGTCGTGAGCAGCCAGACCGCATCATCTCGAGCCGGATGGCCCGCCGCTGGGAGCCCCAGGAGGGCACCTTCGCCGCCCCCGACGCCAAGTCGAGGTGGTGCGTCCACGGGCAAAAGGACCCGGACTCCGGAGCCCTCGAAGTATATGCCCCCACTCCTCAGACGTCGTCTATCATGATGTTTGTCCAGATAGCCTTGAACCTGGGTCTTCTATGTGATATCGCCGATGTCAAGAATGCTTTCTGTCAGTCGGATAGAATGCATCGAGCACAGGGCGAGATCTACGCAGAGCCCTGCGAGGGGATCGTGCTGGAGCCCGGTTCCCTGATTAGGCTTTTGGTCAATGTCTATGGTTTGGACGATGCCCCTATGGCCTGGAGGCGCACCGTTGTCAAGTATTTGGAGGCCCATGGGTTTGTGAGGTCCCTGCTGGAGCCCTGCTGGTGGATGCGCTACGATGACAATGGGGCGCATCGCCGACATGATGCTGCTGGAAGTAGATGACTTCTTCATCGGGAGCTCAGACCAGGTCTCCCGGGACTGGCTTAGGGGGGCCCTGGAGTCCAGGTTCAAGTTCGGGAAGTATCGGGATTGCCAGGCAGGCGCGGTGGACTTTGCAGGCCGAAGGATCACCGTCGCCCCAGACAAGGCAGTGATCGACATGGAGAAGTACATTTTAGAAGAGATCCGCCCTCTGTTCATGTCCAAGGGGCGCCTGGCTCGCAAGGATTCCCCCCTGGAGCCTCATGAGTTCAAGGCACTGCGGTCGCTCGTATACAAGTTCAATTGGTTGGGCCGTGAGGTCCGACCCGAAGCCGCAGGTGTAGCCAGCATCCTGGCCAGCAAGTTGAACCAGGCCAGGACCGGGGATGTGATCACGGCCAACAAGTTGGCTCGCCATTTGCGCTCTACGGCTTCCAGGGGACTCACTGTGTGGCGACTCGACCCAGACAGGATGGCTTTTTGGTCTTTCTCGGACGCCGGTGGCATTGGCTCCACCGACGGCCTGGATGACGAGCGTGGGCTGCCGGTCGACCCCGCACAGGGAGCTTGGATGGTCCTGGCGGCCGATCGATCTGTGTTGGACAACCGTGCGGTCCGGGCTTCGATTCTGGGTTGGAGGTCGTCCAAGCTAAGACGAAAGGTGCCATCTACTCTGGCGGGAGAGACGCAGGCTTTATCCGCAGCAGTTGCAGAAGTAGAGTTTTTACAGATCATGTATCGGGATGTGGTCTTCCACGATGTGGACACTCCCGATTGTCGTCGGGCCTCCGGACCATTTACAACCGTGCTGCGACGAGACTGCCCCCTCGGATCCCGCGAGAAGCAGGTGCATGTGGTCGACGCCAAGTCGATCTACGATACGACGCAGAAAGAGGGCAATGCGTGCGCGCGGGACAGGCGCACGGCCATTGACCTCGCCATTATCTGTGAGTCTCTGGAGCGAGCTCGTGGCCATGTCCGGTGGATCCCACACGGGCGGATGCCGGTGGGTGCTCTCACCAAGGAGGACGTCGCAAAGTGCAATGCCGCTTTGTTCGATTTAATGTCCCATGGTCGCCTGATTTTGGTCGACGAGAGCTCAGAGGTGGCGAGACGCCGCTCCGAGCCGCAGCTCAAGAGTCGATCACAAGCAGCTTCGAGAGAAGAACTTGCCCGAGAGTCTCAGCCCACCTGGATCCAGTTCCTGTCGGGGAGTTCTGCTGGTGGTGGTAGTGGTGGTGGTGTCGGCCCCCCTCCCCCTCCTCTCTCCCCAGCTGAATCATTTATGCGCAGTTGGCCCTTGCCATCTCCGCTCTTCCAGTAATATTTTCTCGTGTACAGTTTCTGTCCTTTCTTATCCCCTCTCCGCTCAAGTAGAGAAGGGGGCCGTTCCAGCACAGGAACGGATAGTTGCTTCTAGTTGAGCCCAAGAGGGTGCTAAACCTACGAGAAGTCGGACGGGTGTGACTGATCTCCAGAATTTACGTATTAGGTTTAGCATTTGAGATCAGTCCTACCGAGTTGCAGCTCGTGCTCGGTGTCCTGTTACCCTCTGTGGCTCAAGCCCAAAAACGTTCATCCAATCCTGTGCTGCCACATTAGGCCATCTTGAAGCCGTTTTGGGCCGTCTTGGGTGCATATCCGGGCCATCTTGGCCGTCTCGAAGGCCTTCTTGGCCGTTTTGGATGCATCTTGGAGGCCGTCTTGGCCGTCCGGGGTTGTCTTGGGGCCTTATTTGGGCCCTCTTGGGGGCCGCTTGGGCTGTCATGGAGCCATCTTGGAGGCCTCTGGGCGCTCTTGGGTCGACGTTGGGGGCCGCTTGGGCCGTCGTGGGCCGTTGGAGATCGGAAAAGGAGCAAAAGCCAACATCTTTCAACAACCAACGGAAACATATATATATATATATATATATAGATATTATATATATATATATATATATGATTTTAGCCATGTCGGGCCTTCCTGGAGGACGTCTTGGAGGCTCTTGGGCCGTCTTGGGGGCCTCTTGCGGGCCTATAGGGCCGTCTTAGGCCATTTTGAGGCCATCTTGGGCCGTTTTGGGCGCATCTTCGGGCCGTCTTGGCCGTCTGGGAGGCCTTCTTGGCCGTCTTGGAGGCATCTTGGAGGCCATCGTGGCAGTCTTGGAGGCCATCTGGGGCTTCTTGGGGGCTTTTTGGGCCGCCTGGAGACCTTCTTGGGGCCGTCTGGGGGGCCCCTTGGGCCGACCCAGGGCCGTCTTGGAGGCTTCTTGGGCGCTCTCAGGGGCGATATTGATGGCCTCTTGGGCAGTCCTGGGCAGTCGGAAGGCCGAAAAGGCCGAAATGGAGCGAAGTCTAAATCCTTCAAAGACCCAAGGAAAATCAATGATTTTGACTTCGTCGGGCCGTCCTTGAGGACCCTGGGGGACCTCTTCGAGGCCTCGTGGGCCGTCTTGGACGCCTCTTGGAGGCCTCTGGGGCCGTCTTGGGCCGTCTGAGATGTTTCGTGTGCGAACTCGCAGGCGCCCTTGACTCTCTTGGGCCGTCTTCGAGGTCATCTTGGGCGAACTTGGAGGCCATCTTGGAGGCTATCTTGGAGCCGTCTGTAGCCGAAAAACCCTTGGCAACCAGCTTCTGCGCACCCTTCCGGGTGGCCGGCGGGGCGGGCCGAAGCCCCAGGGTGAGTTATTTTGGAAAAAGAGCCAAAACCAAAATCGAAATAATCTAGCACGCCGGGCACCCTTGTGACAAGCCAACAGGGGGCGGCGGATCCAAATGTAAAGGGCCCGAGTAGCGGGCTGTCCAGCATTTATTCGGGCAGGTTCAATTGGGAAACGGTTTTGGCATCGTTCCGTCCGTTCAGGTTTCTCTCTTCTGGGGTGGGCGGATCGCGCGGCTTTGTGGTTTGATCTTGCGTGGCCCCGAAGACCGCCTTTCAGTTCAAGTCGGCTGAGTGCCCTGACATGTTCAATGCCGTTGATGGCCTGCTGCTCCTCTTATACGTGGCAAAGGTTAACGCGTTCGACCTATCCCTCGAAGCCTTCCCTCACCGGGGCTGCGGCATGTTCATCTTCGCCTTGGATCACGACATCGGGGTCGTCACCATCTCGGGCAAGGAGTTGGTCGAGCACCAGGAGTTGCCGAAGTACGGTCAGACGGTGGCCTCCCAGGCGCTCGCCAACAACTACGCCGCCATCGTCAAGGCGGGGAATGCCATCCATCTACGTGCCTTGCGGCGGCGTCCCGCGCGTTGTCGGCATCCCCAAGGAGGCCAATTTCGAAGTGACGCCCGAGACCACGGCCAGGAGGAGGAGGAGGTCGTCCAAGGGCGCCGAGGAGATCGAGGCGCGCATACACGGGGCACAGTTGACTTTGGATTCCCAGCACGACGCGAAGTGCAGCAAGAAGATGACGCTCGCCGCGGCGTCGCAGCGGGCGCAGGCGCCAGCGCGCGCGATGAAGAGCATCGCCCAGTGGGAGGGCGTGGCGGCGTGGAAGGGCGACTTGGGGGTGGGCGGGCCACGCGGCCGACGACGAATCCCGAGGGGGCCGCGCGCTCCAGACTGACGGGGTGCTGCGAGGGAGGCTCGAGGCCCCCAGCATGCTGGGGGGTCGGAGCCCCGCGGGGGCCGGGCGGGGCGCGGGGGCCTGAGGGGCCCCGGCGACTCCGATCGCAGTGAGCGGCGAGCGGCAGGGGGCGGGCGACGCGTCGAGGGCATCTGACCTCGCAGAGCACGCGCGGCGATTTCCGCTGTAGGCCCCCTTCCCCGACGATGGTCAGTCAGATGGGTCGGCAGGGTTGTTTGGATGGGGTGCTCTCGCGCGTGCCGCGCGAGCCGCGCGCCGCGCGCCGCCGTCGGGGGCGCGCGCCGGCTGCTGTCGGGCGCGGTTTAGGGCGAGAGCGCAGCGCCGCTCTGCCAAGGGGGCGTCGCCGCGGGGGCGAGCGGCGTCGGAAGGGCACGGCGGCGCTCTGGCGCCGCAGCCCGAGTGGCCGAGCAGCGGGAAACATTATCGCTACTCTGTCATTCCTCCCTCCTGCGGCCCTTCCTCGCCCCCCTCTTCCTCTCTGGGCACCCCCCCCCTCGCCCCCCGCCCTCGCGCACCCCCCCCCCCTCCCGCCCCCAGCCGCCGTTGCCATTTTGGCTCAGTCGCCATGGGCCCGCTCCTGTTCGGCCCGCGGCCAGCAGGCCGATGCCGACTTGCGCCGCGGGGGCGCCGCGTGGGCGACCCCCGCCGTCGGGCGTGCGAGCGCACCCCGGCCGGGTGCGAGTTCCGAGCGCGATGTTCAAGCGCATTCGTATTTTCAGTGTCCTCTGCGCGTAGGAAGAAAATGGCCAGTTGGCCCCGGGGGATCGGCGAGCGCGCGGGCTGCGCGGCCGCTTCCATGCGTTTGGCGAGGCGAGCTGATACTTCATATGCAACCTCCGCGCGGTCCAATTGGGGCGCGCGGCATCTCCATGGAGGTTGGTCAACGACGCGCGCGTCGCGGCGTTGGCCGTTGCGTTGCGCGGCGCTCTCACGGGAGGGCCGAGCACAGCATTCGACGCAAAACTTAATTCTTGGATTAAACCATGCTGGGCTGAGTGCCCAGTAGTGCGCCCAGCCGTCGGGCCGGGTCCCCCGGGCTAGTTCGGGGGCGGTCGTTTCGATTATTATTATTATGTGGACTGGGGCCATGCGTCGGCCCTTTTACAAATCGAAGACGCCTACGGCGAATCAACGCCGCCCCCTGCCTTTTGGAAGCGCCTGCGTGGCCGAAAGTTGGGTTCGAGCTTGGCCAAGCTATCGGGCCACGCGTTCCCCGAGTGGGTTTCGAATGACTTCGGGGAACATGGAGTCGGGCGAGCTATCAGATCGGGTGGTTTCCGTGTTTTCGGGCCTCCTGGAGGACGTTTTGAAAGAGGGGTCTCGGGCAGTCATGGAGGCCTCTGGCGGGCTTTTTTGGCCAGGCGAAGGTCATGTTCAGGCCATCTGGGGCCGTCGTGGGTGCATTTTGGGGTCATTTTCGCCGTTTTGACGGCCTTTTTGGCCGTCTTGGCGGCATCTTGAAGACCATCAGGGCCGTCTTGGATGCCATCTTGGGCCTCTTGGGGGCCATTTTGGGCCGTCTTGGCGTCATGTTTGGGCCCCCGTTGGGGGCCTCTTGGGTTGTCATGGGGCCATCTTGGAGGCCTCGTGGGCGCTCTTGGGACGATGTTTGGGGTCTTGGGCCGTCGGAAAGCTGAAAAGAAAAACGCGTCAAAATCCTTCAAACAAACATAGGACAATCATGGATTTCGGCCCTTGCGGGCCTTCCTGGAGGACATCTTGGAGGGCTCTTGGGCTGTCTTGGAGGCCTCTTGCGGGCGTATAGGGCCGTATCAGGCCATCTTGAGGCCATCTTGGGCCGTCTTGGGTGCATCTTCGGGCCATCCTCGCCGTCTTGGAGGCATGTTTGAGGCCATCTTGGCCGTTTTGGAGGGTATCTTGGGCGTCTTGAGGCCCTCTTGGGGGCCGCTTGGGCTGTCATTTGGCCATCTTGGAGGCTTCTGGGCGCTCTTGGGTCGATGTTGGGGGCCGCTTGGGCTGTCTTGGGCCGCCGGAGAGCCGACAAGACGCAAAAGCAACGATCCTTCAAATCCTACGTGAAGAAACTCAATGATTTTAGCCCTGTCGGGCCTTCCTGGAGGACGTCTTGGAGGGCTCTTGGGCCGTCTTGGGGGCCTCTTGCGGGCCTTAGGGCCGTCTTAGGCCGTTTTGAGGCCATCTTGGGCCGTTTTGGGTGCATCTTCGGGCCATCTTGGCTGTCATGGAGGCCATCTTGGCCGTCTTGGGGGCATCTCCGTAGCCATTTTGGCTCAAGTCCGTAGCCCTTTCGGGTCAGGACCTGGCCTCACTGGCAAGGGGGGAGCAGCGGCCCCCACAGTGCTCCTCCTCGTCTGCCAGGCCAGACGAGGGATTTTGGCTTCTCCTGCTCTCGAGCTGCTGTGGCATGGTCCCCGCGCCCCCGCAGCCCCGCTCCCAGAGCAGACACCAGACCCGCTCCCAGAGCGGCTACAAGACGTGCTATGGCAAGAGCTCATGTGGCTATCAGTATAATCTGGTGGATTGGGCTCGCTGCTATCGTTGCAAGAAGTGGCTCCGCGACGACCCGGTTCGGGACACGGTCAAGGGGCCCCCCCGTCCTTGGTCAGGCGAGCAGCAGTCCAAGGATGCATGGCAACAGGTGGAGTCCACGCGCCGCAAGGCCAAGTCGGGCCCAGGCACGAGTGCTGACCAGTCCCAGTCTGGGAGTGGGAAGGGCGGCTCGGCCCAGCAGCGCAGTGGCAAAGGATCGGACACAGGTGGCAAGCAGACGCAGCGCGACTACCTCGCGGCTGCAGTGGAGCAGCTCACGCTTGCTGGGCTGGCAGACGACCACCCGCTCATGGTGGCCGCCAAGGCTCAGGTGCCCTCCGCTGCTGCTGCTCAGCCTGACGAACGTGGCCCACCGCCATGGATGCGAGTTCGGTCCCATCAGGACAAGCTGGCCCACTTCCAGGGCCAGCTTACTGCGTCGAAGGCGACGGAGGCCAACCTCCGTCAACAGATCACGGAGCTGGAGCAGGACCTGGAGGACTGCGTTGCATCCCAGGCGGTTCTGGCGGAATCGGTCAAGAAGGAAGAGGAGGAGCTCCAGAGGCTCCATCGACGTGCTGCTCTTCACCCTGCTGGCGATGACTGCAAGGCGGCTGTCAACGGGCTGGTGGAGACGTTGTTCGGCCATCTGCCCGAGTCGTTCAGAGTGGCGAAGGCGGACCAGCTCCGCACCGCGGTGGACCTCCTGGGCGACCTGGCTGCTGCTGGGGCCTCTTTCCAGGAGCAGGAGGAAGCACGGCGGAAGGCACAGGCCGAGGAGGCCGCGCAGCGTGCCATGTCGGGCAGCGGCCCTTCGCCAGCCCCAGTGGCATCCTCGGACTCACGTGTGGCGGAGGATTGCAAGCAGCAGCTTACTGAGTTGCTGGAGGGCGGACAGGCAGGGCAGTACGAAGGTCTCTACAGGACCATGCTCGAGTTCCTGCAGAACCCTTCAGCCCTCAGCAAGAGGCCCAGGAGGGACGCGCCAGGCCCAGAGGCTGCGGCGGCGGCGGCCCCCTCGGCCGCGCCTGGCCCTGCGGCTGCTGATGTTCCTGCTGATGTTCCTATGCCTGCTGACCGCGATGTCGCTGGTGCCCCACCCCCGTCGGGGTAGCGGGGTCGGCGCTGCAGCTGCTGGACGCCGCCTGCCTGCGCCCGCCTCACACCGAGGCAGGTGGCGCTCCCTGGCGGCGCGGGCTGGGGCTACTGGGGCTGCTGGATCCGATGCTCAGGTTCCTGGGCCAGCAGACCCTCGGGCGCCGCCTCCTGCTGCTGGGTCGGGCTCGAAGGTCATGGAGCCTTCGGCCCGTGTCGCTCGGCGGCCTGAGGCGGCCCGTCGGCCTGAGGTATGGAAGCTGTGTACGGCCAACATCACCTCGTGGGGCATCGAGTGCGGGGACAGGGGTAAGGTCACGAGAAGGCCCTTCCTGGAGCTCTGCGACTCTGTGGATGCCGACATCTACGTTTTCCAAGAGCACCACCAGACGGAGCTACGTTTGGTGGACGTTCAGCAGGCGCTGGTCAAGGCTGGCATGGTCTCGCTCCTCACTCCTGCTGCCCCCTCAGGTCGTTCAGAGGCTGGCACCACTGGAGGAGTTGGCATTGCGACTTCGAAGCTCTGGGGCCTCAAAGGACTCGATGATCTGCCTGAGGGTATCGCGGTTCCTCCTGGATGTCGATTTCGTCTGGGGCTCTGGAGTGGGTTATGTACTGGAGGTGTTTTAGTCGGATCGGTCTACCTGCACACTGGAATCGGTTGCCGCGGTCAAAATCTTTCCTTGCTGCATAGTATTGGGGAGGTCCTGAGGGCGTATGGCATGCCGTTTATTCTGGGTGGAGATTTTCAGTTTTCAGCGGAGCAACTGGTCGAGTCTGGTTGGATTGGGGATCTTCAGGCGGAGGTGGTCTCTGACGTCTCGAATTGGACCTGTCAGTTGGGTACGTCTCGGTCGTCCATCGATTACTTTGTCCTCTCCTCCTCGCTCAAGCAGTTTGTGGTGAGCTGCTCAGTTGCGACATGGTCTACCTGTACCAGACCGCACCGCCCTGTGGTGTTGAGCATGTCTGGCCACCCGCGGCAGGTGACAGTTCCCAGGCTCAAGAAGCCGTCGGCGTTCCCTCTCCACCGCCCTGTTGGGTGCGACCCTCGCCCCCTGGAGTGGGATGACTTGCGTGATCAGCTCTCCCAGGGGGATTGTACCAAGGACCGTTTGGATGCTGTCACTTCTCTGTGGGTTCAAAGGGCTGAGGTGGCGCTATCTCGCGTATTTCATGTCGATGGGGATCCACGGTACCGAGGCCGAGGAGGCCCCCCCAAGGTGGTGCAAGTCCCTCTGCTCGGCCCCCCAGCCTCCACTCACCCCAGGGCTATTGGGGAGGGCCGTATGTGGCGTGTCTTGGAAAGGCGACTCCAG